AAGACCCACAAATATGGAAACAAGCTTTATTAAACAGTTCAAGAAACGGTCAACCTAACTGCAGTACAGAAAATCTGAATCTCAAGGAGACTTTTCTATAAAAATGAACACAGTATATTTATATAGTTCAATCATATCTGGTTATGCTCTCAGGAGAGTCACTGAAATGATCTTTCAATAAAAATGCATTACAAAAAATAGGTAAAAATTAACTTTACATACTGTACATTACACAGCCTCAAAGTGTTTTATAAAGTTAATTACAAAGTTAGCTTTCATTGCATTCATGCTTTTCCATTCCACATTCATCAGATTAAATTAAATGGTCTAAAAAGATTCAGAGAAGTGTCCAGACAATAATCAAAATCAGGCACATAGTTCAGGAGTTATTAGCACACACAGATCAACAGTTAGATTTGTGCTGTGTGACAAAATAATTGCAAGCTGTTCTTTTCACATGAAAAGCATTGCAGTATATTTCTTCATATTACTAGTGTTACATAGTGAATACTAAAACAGAAAATGGTGCTTTTTTCATGTTTTTACATTATAAAATAAAATGACTTACTTCTGTTTTAGCATTTTTAATGTCTCTTACATTCAGATAAGGTGCATATAAAAGGAATAATTTCAATGATAAGGCCAAGTCATAAATAAATCCCCAAACATACCAAGTAATTATCCAGTCATGAATTTGCCTGTATAATTAATTTTTAACTGTCCCAATATTACAATACTTCTAAACCAGGGTTTCCCAAAGTTTTCAGCCAGAGACCCACAAAATATTGTTGCAAAAGACCCGCGACCCACTCACCCCACATGCAACATGCTGCACACAGAACAACGCACAGACGCGCAGGTTGATTGATCAAGCAGGTATAACAACAAACCGATCACTACCTAACAACCAAATGTTCATTTTAGTAATAAAGTGGTTTAATACAATATTTAAATGAATATCAGTGTAAAAACAAATGTAAGAAGTGAACACAATATGTAAGAGCAGGACAAAACACGAACATAATGTGATATGTGTGCATGCATAAATCATAATGCACAGCTTGCGCAAAAAGTCACCTAATGTGATGGACGGGCAATGTGCATGGAGCAAAGCAGGTCTGGGTTTGATTTTGAAGATGGCAACTCGGAGATCATCCTCCACGTTAAGTCGTGATCTATATTTATTCTTTAAGTCAGCGCCAAGAAAGTCTTTTCACATAAATAGGTTGAACCAAATGGCATCAGTATATGCATAGCGGCCCTGGAAAGTATTCCCTCTCAACTGAAATCCAAAACTTAGCCAGCGTCTTGGAATCAGATGCGGTCTTTAAAGTCCGATCAGAAGATAGTTCAATGAGCGTGTCCTCCATGTCAGAGGTAGGTGATTCACCCTGTCTACAGTGAACGGGGATCTTATCCAATCATATTGTTCTGTGGCCGTTTCCACGGGGAGGTACTTTGTAAAATGTTCCAGAAGTGCTTGAAGGTGAGTAGTGA